TAGTCTAATCTCTAATAAATGTCAATACTTCTTTTTGGTATTTAGTGATATGCACCACACTAAAGCCATCTCAATCTACATTCTCACTTAATTTCTTTAACATTCATCCATCTACATCCATCTAAGCATTTGTATTTTCGCTACTCATTTCTTAGTAAGGGTGATCATTCTTGAACCAGCCCAACGCACAAAATTTCTGACCTAGGGGTCCTGGCCTAGGCATTAAGCCCTAAAACTTYCAAGCAGGGATTGAGTCCAACACTGCCCAATCCAAGGCTTTGTATATATATATATATATAAGCGGGGGCTCATATGATGTACGGGTTTTGTTAAGCAAAAGTGAAACAATAAAAATACATGAGTAAACAATTTTTTATATTTGAATTTTTTTAAATAATTAATAAATATTTATGTTTAATATACGTGTTTTAATAATTTTTACAATAAAAAATAATCATAATTAATTTCAACTAAATTAATAGTCTAATCTCTAATAAATGGCAATACTTCTTTTCGGTTTTTAGTGATATGCACCACACTAAAACCATCTCAATCTACATTCTCACTTAATTTCTTTAACATTCAATCTACATCCATCTAAGCATTAGTATTTTTGCTACTCATTTCTTAGTAAGAGTGATCATTCTTGAACCAGCCCARCGCACAAAATTTCTGACCTAGGGCCAAATTTTTGTGTAAACCTAGCCCAAGCATTAATGAAGGGATGAGAGATTCATCGTATGGACGCCCAAATCTTGTGAAATAAAGGGGCGATTTTCAAAATTTTTCTCTCCCTTTCAATTGGGAATCGCATTCCCTATTTAGAAAATCATATTTTCAATGATCAATCTTGAACCATAAACTGAACCAAATTTGAACCAAAATGAGTAGGAGAAAATTATAATTACACAAAAATTATACCTGATACCAAAAGGGGCTCATATGATGTACAGGTTTTGTTAAGCAAAAGTGAAACAAAAAAAATACATGAGTAGACAATTTTTTAGATTTGAATTTTTTAAATAATTAATAATTATTTATGTTTAATATACATGTTTTAATAACTTTTACGATAAAAAATAATCATAATTAATTTCAACTAAATTAATAGTCTAGTCTCTAATAAATGGCAATACTTCGTTTTTGTATTTAGTGATATGCACCACACTAAAACACCTCCCCAAAGTCGATGTTTTTTTTTTGGTATTTGCCCAAAGTCAATGATTGCGGGAATTGAATTCACATCTATGCTGGAATGAACCATGGAACCAACTGAGCACCCTTTAGTTGGCTAATAAATAACAATAGTTTAATCTCCAATAGTCATTAAAGTTTATTAGTCAAAATACATAATTTCTGAAAACAAATTTATAACAAAAATACAATAAATCCAATAATTATAATAAATTAAGATTCAAAAGTTAAATAACAAAAATTTAATCACTAATAAATATTGAAAATTCAATGTTAACAAACAAAACAAAAATATATTTATACATAATTATTTAAAATATATTCTTCACAAAAATACAATAAATAATTACTAAAAATAAAATAAATATTAATTTTAGTGTATGTATATATACATAATATATTGTGTGTGTGAGTGTATGTTTATATTAGATAGATAGATATAGATAATGATTTCAAAACTACTATCAATAAATATTAATTTTTCTGAAAATTATTCTCTATGATTATTAATTGATAAAGTGAAAGTATGATTTTATTATTAGTATAATAATAACTGTAATCATTATTTTAATTTTTAATATATATTAAAAATATCTTTTTTTTGCAAATTATTACATATTTTTGCTATTTGAAATCCTTAATACCACTGAATTATTTAATTTTTTTTATTATTTCAATAATAATTAAGTTTTTAAATTACTTATATTTTTATTTTTATTATCAAATATTATTAAATTTGTTATAATCACTTTTGTTCTTAAAAATTTTAAGTTATTACATAATTTTGTTATTTAATCTATTTATTATTTAAATAATATTTAACTATGAAATAGTTATTAAATTTTTTATAATTAATATACTTAACTTTTATTGTTATTTAAGTTTTCTTTATTTTAAAGTTATTTCATAATAATAAATATTTTTTCATACAACTATTTAGCTAATATAATATTTTGTTATTTAAAATATTAAGTTATTGAAATATTAAATTAATAATTAAATTTTTTAAATTTTTATTATTTAAACAATATTTAAAATATTATTTAGTTATTAAATTGATAATCCGTAAAATTATAATTTATATTTTCATTATATAATTTAGTTATAAATTTTCTAAATATCTAAAATTATTAATAATCCAAATATTATTAAATACTAGCAACCTTGAGAAATGGCAATTTCCCCCATCCCTGTCAAATACCCAACCTCCACGATCWGGTGGGTGGGGATGGGATTAATAAGAACACCATGTCAAGGATAGGGAAGAGGATGGGAATGGGGAATGAAGTCCATGCCCTTCTCCGACCTCAAGTATATATATATATTATTTGCATTTTAATTTTCTTTATTTTAAATAAATACCTTTATGAAAACAATCTTTTAAATAAAAAGTTTGGGGATTAAAGTCCCCTATGAGGAACCAATTTCCATTAGGCTATGTTTGGTTTGAAGGAAGAGGAAGGAAAAGGAAGGGAAAGATAGAAAAACCAATACAATGTTTGTAAAGATTTCTCTAAGGTCAGAGATGGGGAACAATTTAAAACTAAAGGTTGGGGACAGGGAGTGTGATCCCTACCCCGAACCCACCCATTCTCATTCCTACCAAGAGATCATCCCCTAAACCCATAAATATAATTCCAATAATTATGGCAATTATAAATGTAGTATGCAATAATTATGAAAATTATTAAAATTTCCCAATCATGTATCTAAATAATTGAAAGTTTTATAATTTAACTTTCACAAAATTAACCTACCAAAATCAATAATTTTAGTAATTAAATTACCAAAATCACTAATTATTGCTCAAAAAGTACAGTAAATATCAACATTACTGGAAATGTAAAAAATAAAATTATATTTGTTGAAATTAATTTTCCACAAATAAGCTACTGATAGTATCATTAAATATTAATAAATTGACCTAATTTTCTGAAAAATATCAATAACTAATTATTTCTAAAAAAATACTGATAATATCAAACTTACTAAAAATATAAAAAAAAAGTTATATTTTTGAAGTAAATTTAAAAATGAAAATTACTAATAAAATTTTATTAATAAAGTTGTATTTATTAATATTTTAATTAATCATTCATTTTTTAGTAATTATTGATTTCAATTACAAACCAATTTTTTTAAAATTTAATTAACAAATCAGTAATTTTCATCAAGTACTTTTTAATAATTAAATTTTCCAATTTACCAAAACTACGGAAAAGCATAGTTTAGGTGTTAATAGTTACTAAATAATATTCAATAATATTAGTAATTATTGAAAATATCAAAAATATTTTACAATTAATTTAACTATCTAAAATAAAATTTAACAATTTATTTAACCACATTTTCTAGTTTTTAAATAGTTTATTGGATGTAAGATTAAGAGGTGTTTTGTAGAGAGTCCAAGGTGGGAGAGAGAGTTTAGGACAAAATTTGGGAGGGGTTGGCTAAGTGATTGGGAACATAAGACAGAGGGAGTTGGCGTGGGACTCCAATGAAGAGGAGAGAGGGAGAAAAAAGAAAAACAAAGGAATTAAGGAGATAACAATAAAGGGGGTTTGGAAAAATATAGTATAGATAATATAGTTATYTTTAATAAATATTTTAAAGTTATTACATAATTTTGTGATAATATTTAAATAATTTAAATTTTAAAATTCAAAAATTTTCTATATAGATATAGATTAGAAGGTGAGGGAGAATACCAATGTAGGGCAAAAGACTAGACTTGCAATTTAGGCACAGGCAGGACCAGGCCCACGCCTCGCTTATAGCACTTGCATTGGTGCTAAACCCAGCCCGAGTCCGGCAAGGCCCATGAGGCCATGACCACCCCGACTTCTCGGACAAACTAATTCTCTGTTGATTACAGCCCACAGAATCCAAACAAATGGAAGGATGGCGTGCTGATTACAGCCCTAAAAAGAAGAAAAGATTGGTTTACTTGATAATTCATTATGTAAAACTAGTTTCACTCAGAGGTTTTACAAGAAATTTAACGAAAAATAACTTCTTAGAAAAAAGACATCTCCTAGAAGATGCATTTCCGCTGAAGCTATAGTAGCCATCAACTATTTYCCACACTGGGAAAGCCCAGCGCCCTCTGCAAAACAAAGAATACACAAAAACATTGATCAATATCATTGCCCAGCAAGAAAAACAAATGAAAGAAGGATATTCGCTCCCCAATGGTCGTAAAACAATGTTGTCTTAGAAGCATCTTGGTATCGTAACGGCGATATACTAGGATTAGAAGTTCAACTTACATATCTTGTTGAATGCTACAATGTCACAGCTCTGAATGTGCTCGTTTGCTGGTTCAGCAGTCAGGTAATCCTCAATAAGGTTATCGATGGATACCAAATCATCCACAATTGTCAACATGATTTGCATTTTCTTTATACCATATCCAACAGGTACAAGTTTAGCTGAAATTACCAGGATACAAGTTAATTGAGCATCCAAACATATTTTAACTTTTCTCTAACTTGGTTTGATGAGTTAATCACTGAATGGTAAACGTCAAAAAGATTGAGGTGGGCACTTACAGGCTCCCCAAACCAAGCCTTCCATCTGAACACTTCTCACTGCTTCTTCAAGCTTTTTCATGTCTGTCTCATCGTCCCAGGGCTTCACATCCAACAAAACAGAGGATTTTCCGGCTAAAGAATAAAAAAAAAAAGAGAAAAATATTAACAAGGCTCAATGCAGAGAGAATAAATAAAACAAAACTACAATAATTGATTTGTTCTTCTAGATTGCAAATTTTCAACAACAAGAGCATCAAAGATTGTGATTTAATCAAAAGATGAATATTCGATATTTAACACAACTTAGGAACTTTAAGGAAAAAAAAAGAAAAGAATCTTAGTTATTTACATACGRCACATGACAAAATATCACAAATCTTTTATGTAAAAGAAAGCAGAAACTCACACTCTTTCTTTTTGCCTGATGCTTTCATGGCTGCAGCACGTTCTTCAGCAGCTTTCTTTTCTTCCTCAGTCTCTTCACCAAATAAGTCAACATCATCATCATCATCCTCAGYAGCCGATGCCTGAAACTCAAATTTCCTATTAATGCATGAGTATATAATTTTTTTGGTAGAACTTATACTATATCTTGAAACTCGAAAAGGAAATTAACTAACAGAACAAAGAATTCCATATTTCACACTTCTGAATGTAACAAGGATAAGAGAAACTCTTAAAACACTAAATGCTCATATTTCCTTAACTGTTACTGTTAGAAATCAAGGCTAACACTAATAACTTAACAAGTTTTATGGCAACAACACCATCCAACATTACTATAGATTATAAATAAACAAGTAATTGGATCCAGCAAAAAGGAAAAATGAAATATTGAGTAAATTCACATGTATAAACAATGAACAAATACAGAAAAGTTCTAAGCTTACCTTTGTGTCAGCCACCGGAGGAGTTGCAATGGACTCCACTGTAATGGAAACTGATCCTTCCACTTTAACTCCCTGGCCTTCTCCAGAAACACCACTGTAGTCAAACTTAAGAATTTTAAAAACCACGGAGAAATGGCAAACGAAAATATGACAAGGATTGTGTTGTAGTTAGACTTACGAAAGTCTTAAAAGAGCATCAATGTGGTGGTACCACCTACAAACATTCACATATTCAGTCGAAGGAGCTTTTGAAAGAGCAGAATAGACAGTAATATCATCTTTTGAAGCCTGGTACCTGGGATTAAGAGGGGGAAAACAGGATATTAAATGATGAAACCCAAGAAAACCAAGAAACAAGGAAAATTTAAAGCAAAATGATATACCCAGTAATGTAACTCCTAGTCAGGAGATACTCATCAAGTTTCTTTAAGCCAGACTCCGCGTTAAGGTTGTAGAATGCAACTGCCATGGCTTCGACAGGCTTTAAATGATTTACTACAAGCACGACAAAGCAAAAGATAAGATTTTTGTAGAGTATTGAAAAAGAATAAAATGTTGAAGTTTTAATTAATAGTCAATCCAAGTCCTAGGCATTGGTTCTTCTCATAAATATATGAACCAATTAGAAATTAAGAAAAATAAATCCAAATTTAATGCTTTTTTACAAGCATCTACATTTAATACCGCTTTTGTTCAGCAATCCATATTTGATACTTATTTAGTAACAGAAGGCATCCTAAACATAGGGAGGGGCACCTAACATTGGCAATGGACCTAGCTAGGGAAGATGCATTCAACTTGTTTAAAAACATCTCATTCATGATTTGTATGGCAGATAACTATTAGCAACACCAGACCAAATGTTGAGGTTTTAATTAATAGTCAATCCAAGTCCTAGGCATTGGTTCTTAATAAAGAATTGCTACACATGCATTTGAATAAAGCAAATGAAGGCACTCTCATAAATATACAAACAAATTAGAAATTAAGTAAAAAAATCCACATTTGATGCTTTTTTATGACTATCTACATTTAATACCACTTTTGTTCAGCAATCCATATTTGATACTTATATAGTAACAGAAGGCATCCTAAACATAGGGAGGGGCACCTAAGTTCAATCAAAGAACAAACCAAGAATCAGGAATTAGCCTCATCTGTGAGCCCAAACGTACCCAATGACCTCACTGATCATCAAAAACAAAAAAAAAAAAGTCCAATCAAGAACTTGCCGACCCATTTCAAGACCCCAGATAGCCAGGGCAAACATTGGCAATGGAATCAGTTTTTATAGAAGATAGCACATTTGACTTCAGATCTGTAGGAGATCAAAGGTTGTCAATGGTTTGTCGGTCACAGTTAATTCAGAAACACGGACCAAAGAGATTACTCATCATCTCCACCCTTAACCCAAAGAGATTACAGGGAAATTGAAAGAAAAAACAAAAATAGGAGAACAAAGTTTCTAAAATCGATCATAAAGCAATGAGAATTAGGAAATTTCATTAAAAAAAGAGAATCAGAATCGTGGTAATTGCAACATACCAAACATATAAATCAGTTTTTTAATAGAAGATAGCATGTTTCGACTCAGAAATACAGACCAAAAACATTACTCATCATCTCCACCCATAGATCAGATCCTTTATTCCGGAACAAAGCAAAAAAATTAATTAAAGAACAACAAATACAGGGACAAGTGACAAAATAGAATTCAGTTTTTAATAGAAGGTAGCATATTTTTCTGTAGGTACAAGGCAGATCAGAGGTTGGTAATGGTTTGTCGGTCACGGTTAAATCAGAAACACGGACCAAAAAGATTACTCATCATCTCCACCCACAGAAATAATTACTTTTTCAATTAATCAAAGAAAAAGAACAAGGGTTCAATTGATTCATGGGAACAAGGGTCTGGAATCAAAATCAGAATGGTCTGTTCCAATTCCAACCATTTGTTTGGGCAGAATCAAAATCTCAAACACATTCTTGGTGGAATGGCATAGCCCATTTGAGAGAATGGCCATTCCCTCCCCCTCCCTTGGAAATGAAAATCTATTCCAGCTGATTCCGCTTCCCATTTTAAACAAACAGGCTGAGGGAATAGACCATTCTGATTCTGATACCGATTCAAATTGCAAACCAAATGGACCATAACAAAGACCAGATTAGTAAGACAAGTTGAGAGAAATTAAACAAAACGAAACAACATGAGAAAACGAAAAAACAATATTGTAAAAAGCACAAGACAAAGGAACTAAAGGGTTGTCCACAACATTATGTACTCATTTCTCATTTGTACTCAGAAGTACTGTATAGAAACAAATAATGCACCAAATACACATTATGATTCTATTCTGATTGCAGAATCAAAAAGATCACTAAAAAAAATTATTGGCTAATAAAGAATAATAAATAACATAGCAGATTTGATAAATAAATTCCACACATTTTTCACTGAAAAAACCAAGGAACTTTTTCTAGAAATCAATTGGCCCAAAGAAATGGGATTAAAAAAAATCTAGAAAAAAATCAGAATAAGAAGAGCTTAAAATTGCAACAGAAATGAAACAACTAAAAGAAAAACAAAATAGAAAAAAATTAGAAAGGAAACTTTGTTAATTTTTAAAGAGGGGTGTAAGAAGAAGTTGGTAACGAGCCACAAGTCAGATAAAAGATTGCTCATCATCACCTCCAGAAATCGAAGGAATAAATAAGAGAGTAAATTAAGTTAAACAAAAGAGGACTCTAAGGGGTTTGAAGATATGAATCATCAGAGACTTAAATACAACGAATCATTAAGTATCATATTGTTGCAGTTTTCTCTTCAGATGATCCCCCTCACTTGTAGAACTAAAATATATCAAAAAAGAAAATAAAAAATATTATGCAAATTAATAATAACAATAATATAATGTAAGGAGAATCAAATATAAATGAAACAATTTAAGAAAACAAAAGACAAAATTACAGAAGGGCGTACAGAATTATATTCCCAATTCTAATTAGAAGTACATTAAACAAGGAACCAATAAACAATATTAAGACTTTTTTTCTGATTTCAAAATTAAAATCATCACTAAAGAGCATTTATTGATCGTTGATGAGAATAGCCAAGTAAATTCAGTAGAAATTTTTCCAAAGACAATACATCAAGACAAATTCTCTGGAAATAAAACAGCCAAAAAAAAGAGAGGACTGTTGTAATTTGAGAAACAAATCAATATCAGAATTATCATATAAATGAACACGCTTATTTAGAAAGAAAAACAGAAACTGTTTTTTTTTGAAGAAACAATATGGTTTATTATAGATCTAAAGGAAATCAGAGGTTGATAATGGTTGGTCAGTCAAAAACGTTTATTCATCAGATCCTCCCCAAGATCTATTCCTTTCAGATATCAAAGAAAAGAACTGAGAGTGTAGTAAATTCATTAAAACAACAATCATTATATGGAATGAAGATGAGATCATCAGAGACTTAAATACAACAAATCATGAAGCATCATATTGTTGCAGTTTTTTTCTCATCAGATGATCCTCTTCAGTTGTAGAACGAAAAATATATCAAATCTAAAAGCACATAAAAAGAAGCAGCAAAACAACAAATAAAACAGAAGAAAAGCAAACAAACTATAATTAGTTCACAAAGTTCATCCAAAACAAACTATAATTGGTTTTGAGTATAATGGGTGTGGGCCTTGGCCTAGGTTTGAACTTGGCTCCAAGCTGAAATGGACTTGGACTTTAGGTTACACAAGGCCAACATGGCCTTAGTTGAATTGCAATTACTTGAGTTTGAGTTTGGGCCCGTGCTAGGCCTATAATGGTCTATGCCAAATTGGGCTTAGACTATAGCTTGAGTTTGTGCCCAAGCTTGGTCTATATGGCCAAGGCCAAATTGGGCTTGGATTGGAAATGGGCTGGGCCTAAGCCTATTTGGCCTTGGCCTAAGTTAGGCTCCTAGGTTGCTATGTTTTCCAAATTGAAATGGGCTTGGGCCTAGCTTTGGCCCTTCCTCTTTAAACCCTTCTAACCCTCTACTTCGTTATTTGATCTTCTTTTCTCCATTTTAACATCTTTGATATGACTCTATGTTTACACATATTCCACCCCACACACTAGCTAATTCCCTACCTTGACTCCCTACTTCACCATCTGATATAGATTTGTAAAAGGATATCGAAATTTGCTATTTGGGGCCAAAAAGGAGATTTTTGCAAACCTAACGGGGCAAGGTGCATATGGCCCTTGGGATGCAGAGATCTCAAAAAGTTACCCAATGTCAAAAAAATCACCCCAATTGGACATCTAAGCACAACATTATGGCTTCTAAAAGTTTGCACATACATTGAGTGTGTGTGAGCATCAAGAAACAGCTCACTTGGGCTGACTTGGAGTCACCACCCATCATTTGAAAGAATTGGAGGTAATGAGACCTTCAAGAGTTATTATCCAAAATCATTTTGTTTTATAGTGACTCAAAAACCCAAAGCAATGGTCCAACCAGTCCAGGTAAGACTCAAATGGGAAAGGGAAGGGGTTAGACACCCCTCTCCCGTTTCCAAATGGTGGGGCCCACATGGGCATTCCCACAGCAAGCACAGTCACCAAGTACAAACAAATTAATGAGCATTGAACCACATAGACGCATTAGTCAATGAACACAACACAAAGATCAATCAACAAAGTTAATAACCTAAGAGGGATATAAACAACAACATGCAATGAGAATTACTAAGGCTGCATTTGGCATTCCTTATTTTAAGGACTTAACTCCTTTTTGCAGTTAAAGACCCAGTGTTAAAAGGGCATTTTAACTGCAAAAAAGGAGAAAACTCCTTAAAAAAAGGAATGCCAAATGCAGCCTAAATCATATAAAAAAGGAGTTAGATAACATGGGGTGGGAATTACTCGGTGGGATAAACAGACCTACCCAATGATGTAAAAAGCACAAAATCGTTAATATGAATACAGTATGACAGTCACGTAGTCTAAAGAGAAGACAATGTTGTTTGAATTATTGATTAACAAGAACAACCAAGAACGAGGAATATCATCTAGCATATAGCACTTAACAAATATCAAGGACAATGAAAATAGCAAAAGATCCTACCAATTTGAGGAATATTAATCATGAAGAGGCAGGCAAAAATCAGGTAGACTAATTAGCAAGAGAAGAACAATCTCACAATAAATCATACTGATTGATTCAATTAAAAATACTAAGGGTCAAGTAAATTGACAAACTCTGGCAAGAAGCGAATTTAGAGAAAAAACAAAAGGTTAACTAATTCCAACAATGAAGCGGGCCATGGCCACAGGGACTAAGTTGGTCCTAGTGAAAATTAGAAAGCGATAACCAGAAATCATAACCAAAAGAAAAGGGACGGAGAAAGACGACTGGAAATTAAACAAATTCAGAGAATAACATATGTTGCAACGATGGAAACTAAAGGAGATCAAGCACTTGGCGTTAAACAAGTTGACTTAATAAAAAGGGTTTTGGCCAGAGGTTGGGGTTCTGCACTTGACATTAACTGGCCAAGCACCTAACAGTCTCGGTCGGTCAGGCCTGAGACCATCCTGTAACTAGTCCAGATTCGGGAATGAAAAACGAAACAAGAACATGTAAATGCCAACTTATTATCAAAAAAAAAAATACATGTAAATGCCTAATTATTATCAATTAAAATACAACAAAACAAAGAAGCTAAAATAAATAGATATTATGGAGAACGAATGGGGAAAACGCTACCGCCGCTGTAGCCTGTATGCTCGAGGCTTCGACGGAGAAGATGATGAACTAGCTAGGCTCCCTTGCGGTTGGATTTTATATTAGGGTAATAAGGTAGTTTCGTAATTTTATGAAGTTTAGGGGGATTTTCGTAATGTCGAGTTTAGGAGGGTCAAATCGGAATGATCATTGAATGGTGGAGACTTTTAGGTAAAAAAAGGTTGAGATGGGCTATGTCTGTATATAGAAGTTTTGTGTTTTTTTTTTGGTAAAGTAGGCTACAGAGTAAAAGAATTTCATCAAGGAAGAAAGCAAGCAACAAAACAGGAAAGAAAGAATAGACTAAGAAAAGAAAACAAACTAAGAAAACAGAAAAAACAAGCTAAACCAAAGGAACTTAAAAGACGAAGAAAAGCCAATCCTAGCTGCAGCCTGCAGCATTAGCAGCACTGTTCAAGCTTCTTGGACACTGATGTAGGCGCAGATGGCCCCGTCCCATCGCAGGCACATACGTGCGGATCCAATCAGGGCGTGCACATCAGCTCAGATTCGGATAAGATTTCAATAAGCTATCCGAGTTATGACCGAATTATCAGCTGAAAGCAAAATCTTCAATTCATCTCGGATAAGAGAAAGGAAGTTATTAATATTAATTATTTCCAAATTTCCTCTTTGTCCTGTCATATCAATAACTATCTATAACGGGCGAAGCCCCCTACACCGAGCTCACCTACCYCTAAGCGGTCTTTTTAAGTATAAAAAGGAGGTGAGCCCCTCAAGCTAAGGGATTGGAATTTAAGCTCTTTAGATAACATCTTAGATCTCCTATTTTCTTTAGTGGCCTCGTCTAAGCGTTCATACCTCATGCCTCGTCCACATCTCATCGTCTCTTAATACTAACTTGATCGTCGAAGTCTCCGCCCTGGGTATCAACCCAAGGTCTCTGACGTTTTCCTCTCTATAGGATCGACCCACAAGTCTTCGGCCAACTCGGACATCCCTCACCTCGACCTCGGATCACTCAGTGGCACCCAACTTAGGAGCGAAATTACAGTGTTGTCCTCGGCCTATTCCAAGCATCAACAATTGGCATCGTCTATGGAAAACGTTGCTAAGACTTCCCTCAATTCAACTTAAAATTAAAAGAATTAAACTCCTAAGTCTCAACCGACATGGTGAGAAACACTAGGAACGCTCAAAACCTGGTCATGACAAAACAACTCCAATCTGTCCTCGATCAGCTGGACCACCTCGCTCAATAGATTGACGAGGAATAACCCCATACAGGAGGCCACCCCCAGGGCACCCGCGCTGCTGGGAGCTTGGGCCACCAGGGCGAGCGCGTGTCCGCGGACCCCTTGGCCCTCGGTCCAATCAACTCTCAACGGGCCGACCCTTTAGAGTTCGATAGTAGCCAGCATGCTAGCCAGCCACAGAGAACCTCCAAACCCCCTAGCCGAAGGGGGGAGCAATCAACTTAGTCCTGGAATCATTGCTGAGACCCCGAACAGCATCACCACCGTCGAAGAGAGAACTCCCGAGACAAAGGCGGGCAATCTGGCCATCATTACCCCCACTCGAGGGCTGAGAGCCGACATTACGCCTCTCCCTCATGCATATCGGATCTCCCAGACCTCCTGAATGATAGGCGAGCCAAAAGGAACGGACATTGCCCCACTTCCGAATACTCCAGGGTCCAGGCCAACCCCCCACTGAGTCCATGAGGACTGGGATGGGGCTCAGGCCCCCATCGACCAACGAATCATGGACCTGCAAGCCCAACTCGAAGCCATTAAGGACGAGCTCTATCAAGTCAGAGAGAGCCAAGCAAAGGCCTCGGTTAGCCAGAGCCATCCATCCAGAAGGATGGATGCCTTCACCTCGGACATCATCTCCAAGCCTCTCCCCTCACACTTCAAAGCACCGACGTTGGAGATGTACAATGGTACTAAAGGGATGAGAGATCCATCATATGGATGGCTGAACCCTGTAGGAAGGTTGGGCAAAATTTCAAAAATTTTTCTCTCTCATGTGGAAATCGCATTCCCTATTTTAAAAAACTGCATTTTCAATGATCAATCTTGAAACCAAACCGGACCAGATCTGAAACCAAAAGGGAGTAAAGGGATATACCTGATACGGAGTAATGATAAACCCCCACTGAAGGTGTTCACGCCCAAGGAGAAGACCAAAGACTGCTTCCACCGAAGATGACACTACGTGAGGTGAAGCATAATCAATAGGACAATTCTTCAGCAAGAATATGATGAAGGGCAGGTGAGCACGACTTTAGATTGCCTTTTCTACCAAAAGGCAATATCAAGAACTGTTCTTGATCACTCCCACTAGTGGAGATCGAACTGGTAGAGCGGCAAGAGCAGGAGAGAATAAGAGCAGAAGACAGTGCAGTCAAACTGTGTTGTCTCTCTCTGTAATTCAGTAGAATGTGAGGATGATATGGAGGTTCGCCCTGCTCTTCTATTTATAGCCTTAAAGAGAGGATCTCCTAATCCCATTAGGAGTTTCCTAATCCAAATATTTTATTTGGATCTGGACTCTCTTTAAGAGATAATGATAATCTCTTATCTTATCTATAGATAAAGATCAATCCTTCTAATCTAATTAGGAGTTTCCTTATCCAAATCTTTATTTGGATCTGAACTCTCTGAGTGGATAGGGATAATCCCTTATCCTATCAGTTGATCCAAATCCCATAACCGCCCTCATTTAATTAATCTTATTAAGCTAGTTCGAATTAAGTTTTAGGCCCATTAAGTCTATGTGCTCACTTAACCTCTTAATCTGCTGCCCAGTTGGCTATCCATGTATGGTGTAGGACCCAAACATTGATCTACACATCAGCCACATGGGTTCAGTCCAGCCTCTGTTACAAGGCCTGGCCGAATTCATTGTAAGAGATAGTGAACCCCTGAGTCTATCACCATGGGCTCTTAATGGGCCCAACATTTACACTAAATGGTCCCTGGGTCAAACCACCTTATAAAAACCCAAGGACTGTAGGCAGATGCAAGATTAGGCCATCAGGTATTACCCTCAATGGTTTTACACTTAACCTCTCAGCACATAATGATCAAACACTGCCCGATAAGAGATAACCTCTCCCTTGGCTGCAAGGTACAATGCTGCACTCTCTACTCACGTGGATCCCAGGAATTAAAACCTTTTGCAAACATTAGGAGTTTCCTAATCCAAATCTTTTATTTGGATCTGGACTCTCTTTAAGGATAATCCCTTATCTTATCTACAGATAAATATCAACATTCCTAATCTAATTAAGAGAATTCTAATCCAAATCTTTATTTGGATCTGGACTGTTTGAGTGGATAGGGATAATCCCTTATCCTATCAGCTGATCCAAATCCTAGAACTGCCCTCATTTAATTAATCTTATTAAGCCAGTTCGAATTAGGCTTTAGGCCCATTAAGTCTATGTGCTCACTTAACCTCATAATATGCTGCCCAGTTGGCTATCCTTGTATGGTGTGGTACCCAAACATTGATCTACACATCAACCACATGGATTATCCTAACCTCTGTTACAAGGCCTGGCCGAATTCACTGTAGGAGACAGTGAACCCATGAGTCCATCACCATGGGCTTTTAATGGGCCCAACATTTACACTAAATGGTCCTTGGGTCAAGCCACCTTATAAAAACCTAATGATTGTGGGCAGATGCAAGATTAGCCCATCAGGTATTACCCTCAATGGTTTTACACTTAACTTCTCAGCCCATAATGATCAAACACTGCCTGACAAGAGAGGACCTCTCCCCCGGCTACAAGGTACAGTGATGCACTCTCTACTCACGTGGATCCTGGGAATTAAAACGTTTTGCAAACATTTTGAAACCATAATATATATATCTATAYAAATATATTTTACAAAACAAATTTCAACGGGTGAAATCGACTACCTGCAGTTTTGGTTTCCATCAGAGAGAGTGCATCCCCGATCATTCACTTTGTCCGACAAAGGGGCTGATCCTATCACTATGATCACCCACTCAGATGGATTTTTGGACTATCCCAACATACTCGGGTTTTGACCCCCTCTATGGATCTCACTGATTGGCATATCAAAGACAACCCAATCCGACATCTGGTGTAGTATCATAATCGTGTCTAGGGGTCAGGTGTAACATTCATGTTTTGCCCATCTATCTCCAAGGTCTAGGGCAATACTAGAATTTTGGTCTGGTTCAGGGTTTCAAGAAAACCCACACTACATGTACCTTAGGTCTCTCCCTGGCAGCTAAGATAAGCCACCCCAACCAACTTGGCAGCATATTAATGTCAACCTTGGCAAGATAAATCTCCCCAGATCTATCTAACGGCTGTGAAGATTCTAAACTTACACGATTCTCATAAGTGTCCAGTTTAAGAGTATTACACAAAAACACACCATAATAACATGAATCAAATATGTATTTTATTAATTTAAATGAAATGTCATAATGTACATCATTCTAATTGGAAGTAAGGGTATACACTGTCTAACAGGCAGGTACCACCGACTTGAACGACCACCTAGAAAGTTTCAAGGCACTCATGCTCCTTTACGGATACTCCAACGCCCTGACGTGACGAACTTTCCAGGCGATCTTCAAGGAGGCAACCCACCACTAGTTCTCTGGGTTCCCTCCTCGCTCCTTTTCCTCGCCCACTTCATCAGCAGTAAATGGTGCCAAAGAGCGTCGTTTCTTTGATGGCTGCAAAATAGAAGCGCGGTGAGAGTCTGTGGTCTTACATCGACCGCTTCAAGAAAGAAGAACTCGAGGTCCGAGACCTTGACCCCATGGTCTCCATGCACGCTACCATCAACGGGCCTTCTACCCAACTTAACCCTTAGGTGCTCGGTAGACAAGATACCGCTGAAGTCCAAGGTAGACTTTCTCAAGAAGGCATAGCAGTACATCGCCAATGATGAGACCTCGATCGGTGAACATCAGGAAGGGAAAGCTGATCGCCATCACGGAGGCCCAATGAAGAAGAGAAAGARTGGGGACCACCGCAACAGTGGAAACAACAGCAACAAGGACAACAAGAAACCACCGACCTTGGCTCTGGCTTACAATCAACATACACCATTCAACTCCACTTGAACA